CTGCGTAAGACCAGATCAAAGGCCTCTCGTTATAGATTTTACGAGTCCTTTAATGTACTCTACATTACCACGTTTTGAATTGTACATCGTCGATCCATCTATATTCCAAAAGAAAAAAGAAAGACGAGAAGCTTAATTAATGCATATACTAATAAGTTATATCCACCATGATTGATGTTTTAATTACTTAGGTTGATGCATAAAATCTAATATATTATTTGTGTCAGGGTTACGGATAAGGTATACCCTCTACCCTTGGATATACGCTATGCGGCAATATGGTATACCTGCACGTGTACGGACGTTCTCTGTATACGCTAAGCAAATTCTTCACGAAGTTAACTGATGGAAAGATTCCTACCCGTATAGGACTGGGTCGTCACTGTATCGTGCAGGGTCCGATGTCTCCGAGTCCTACTTGGAGACCACTAACCTGCGATATAAAAGGGACCCCCCGGGATGACCTAAGGCATGGAATCTCAGAGTTAACACAACGACCACAACCCATGAAGTCGGAACCTACAGGAGCCAAGTCACCGGGTGATCTAGTCGGATCAACTCGACTACGATCTCGTCGGTATCATCGAGTTCTGCTATTCCCTTTGTAATTCGTGGCTTTCACTGTATAATCCCATACCAACTGGATTAGGGCTACTACCTTCCGAGGAGCCTGAACCAGTATAATCCTTGTCTTCTATTTTCTTGATGTCATATTACGTAGATCCTTGTACCAGCGTACCTCAATACCCTCTATATCCGGTCTACTGGTATCCCCCGTCGATAATTTGCATACATAAAGTGAATTCTATTAATATATCTAGACAAATACGTATTACTCCCTCCGTTTCATATTGTAAGACTTTCTAGCATTGCCTATATTCATCTAGACATATATATATATATATATATATATATATATATATATGTCTAGATTCATTAACATCTATATAAATGTGGGTAATACCAGAAAGTCTTATATTGTGAAACGGTCGATCTAGAAAATAAATATCGATTAAAAATGATTATTCTATATAGTTGAAATATTATTTAACACAACAATAGAGTAAAGGATATCTACTACTCCCTCTGTTTTAGGCTATAAGACATTTTGACTTTAGTCAAAGTCAAACTATTTTAAGTTTGACTAAGTTTGTAGAAAAAAGTAGTAACACTTTAAACCCAAGACAAATTTATTATGATTTAATGAAACTAATTTAATATTATAAATATTACTATATTTATCTATAAACTTAATTAAACGTAAAATAATTTGACTTTGACCAAAGTCAAAACGTGCTGTAACCTGATGAAACAGGAGGGAGTATGTTACTAGCCTTCGAAGACAATTTAGAGCCGGGGAAAGCGTCAAGTACCCAAAATTTTAAATAAAATAGCAACAAATCACCCTCTGTCGAGCTTGATCAGCAAGAAACATGGCTGCTCCCTATTCTGATCGAAATGGTTTTCTCTGCAAGATATATACCGCATAAAATATTTTATCATTTCTGGCTAGTTAATTTGGAGAGAGCAAAATTTTAAAATGACCAGAATGCCCCTAGGGAGAAGATTGATCATCCAATAACCCTTATAAGTTGTGCGGGCTCGTAATTGGTCTCATCTGAACAAAAAAAAAATCAACCTCCATTTTCGCATATGGCTTCATTAAGAGGACAATATGCAAAAACATATTTTCTCTGATGAGCCTTTTAATGGCAGCATAAAAAAATGAGCCTATTTTCGCATGCGGTCCTCCTAAGACGTTTCACATGCGGGCTTCTTAAATGGTCCACGTGCGAAAATACCCCCTCTCCACAAATTTTTCTCCCCTCCTCTCTCTTTTGCCTCTCAGCAACTTTAATATTTTTTCACCTCCTCTCCTCCTAATATTATTTTCACCTCCTCCTCTCTTCTCTCTTTCTCTCCTCTCCTTCTAGTGGCCGGTGGCGGGCAGCGGCCGGCTCAGAGATCTCGAGCGGTTCCGCAGCAGACAAGGAGGTGGCCGTGTGCGGGCGGTTCGACCACCTCGGGCGGTGCCGCTGCCACAGAGGCAGCGGCGATGGGACGACGTGACAGTGACAACGGGCGTGGGCAACGTCGGCGGACACCCTCCCCCCCCCCCTTGAATCCGGCGGCGGTGACCCTCCCCGCGCCGATCTGGCGGCAGCCGCTCTCTCCAACCTGGATATGGTGGCAGCGGCCCTCCCCAGCCCGGATCACGCGTCCCCTCCTATTCCCGCGCGGATTTGTCAGCGGTGGCTATGGGAGGAGGACGACAATTTCGGCGACGACGGAAGGACAAATACGACGGTGGCAGCAACAACGATAGGATTCTAGGGTTAGAGTTTCTGAGTAGTTTTTGTTTTTCATAATTTCTATTCCTTTCACGATTTTTCCTATTCGCATGCCGGCCGTTGGCTTAAGCGCCCGCATGCGGTTGCGCTGGCCACATGCAAAAATACGAATTTTGCAGACTTTTGGGCGTAGGCGGTCCGCCCGTCCGCATGAAAATATTGATTTTGGCCACGTGGAAAAACTGAAGCTGTAGTAGCGAGCGTTGTGATAGCCATTAGCACAGCTACTTTCTTATGATTACAGTTCTAAGAGATTCAAGAGAGGTGACAATTGACATATTGGGCGAACTGGATACATAAGATAAGCCTTTTTTTTTCCCGGGCATTCTGTTCATTACTCTTTTTTTTTTTCACAAGTAGCCAAAAATGATAAAATATTGCTGGTGGTGTTATGTAGCAAAGAATCATATTTTTTTTTAATCCATGAGCAAATTTACGTTTTAGATCGTCCTTCGCCAAATAATATATTTTAGAGTGTCACCTACTCTATCATTCTAAAATATTGCTATTCAGGATAAGATTTGACCCATTTTAAAATAACGAATTTAGACAGTGGTGGAGCTAGGACCCGGCTAGCCTCGGCAGGTGCCCGGGCTCTGCCGGATGTGGCCGTACTATGCAGTAGTTATCAGTTTACGTTAATTACTTAGATACAAGTTCAGGCGTTCAGCCACGTACATTTGAGTAAAATAGCAAATTACATGTTTAATTAACTAGTTCCAATAATGGTTGTCAGATCAGTGGATCAGCACATAAACTAGCAAAATGACTAGCTATATATACATATAATGTCAAGTATTCAACATTAACCATTAACGAGTTTCATTTCATCAATATAATTTCGTGCATTGGTTGTCTTCTTCATAAATTAGAACTCGATCTATGCTAAATCGGGCACGTGGTTGTATGGATTTAATTGTAGTTCTTCTCTATTATTAGGTTTGCCTAGGCTCAATATCCGCCACTGAATCTGGATAGAACCTATGTCGAGATTTATGGTTACAGAATGTGTTAAATCGGTTCAGTTTAGTTACATTATTTTATGATAAATTAAATTCTATCCTATATTGCAATATTTTGGAACGGAGGCAGTAGCAAATTTTATTTAATTTCCAAGGATTGATATTGTTGCAAATTTTGTTTAATTTGCAAGGATTCATATTGTGTGCATATAATTACATAAAAGCAGCAAACATTCGTAACTACGAACTGAGAACTAATGATCTCTAACCTCTTTTCAAAATGATGACTATTCACTAATGGTTCATACTATATAGTTCCCAACACAATCACAATCCGATGGACTTCGAACCGTTACACATTATAAAAACTCAAATGATTTATTAGAAACCTTTAAGGTTATATCTGTGACGGTCATTATAGCAGTGAAGCATAAGTTAAGTAATTATATATGTATCTGCGCTATGCAAGTTGAGCCAACTGCTCATCAGTCTTGTTTTCATTGTTCGACTTACGAAACTTCTTGTTTTCATTGTTCGACTTACGAAACTTTCTTCGGTGGTTTGAGCTCATGATCACGCTTAATCTCTAACGCACAAAAATAAAAGGTATACCTATAAAAAGGTATGAAAAAATTGGGCCAGGTACGAAAAGTGGTTGGTTAAAATGGTAATTAGATACCGTGGTTAATTTTGCGGAAGACAAAAGCGTATCTTCCTCCTATGATCCCATCCAGCCTGCAATGCGAAGTCCCGATAGAGTGTGTTGGAGGCATTTCTATGTTCATACGGTGGTTAATTAAATGCTTAGCGATTAACTACGGATTCCTCAAACTAAGCGCATCAATTTCTCAAGTGGTTGTAGTGACCTGAGTAACATCCTAAAGTCCTGAGTTACAGTGACCTGAGCAGCCTAGTGGTTGCAGTGACCTGAGTAGCATCCCAGGATCCTAAGTTCAAATCTTCATAGGAGCGAAGTTCCCAATTTAAAAAATATTGCATATATCCAGTTGGATATAGAAGCCGGGCTTCTCTAGAAAAAAGAGAGATAAAAGCACATAAAAAACAACAGTAAAATTGCAACAAGTTTGTACTATCAATATGAATTTTTGATATTGGTGTTGCAGCAGAATTTTTTTTTTGAAAATACACTGTTCATCTTTTCTCTCAGAAATATAAGAGAAGAGAAAAATTATTCTTCACTGGCCAGAAATCATGGGAAATGGCAGCCCACTTCACCTTTGCTCCGTAACACCGGATCTGATCTTTTTTTGAACCAACGAGCCCCCATTGTTATGAAATATTTGGGTGATCTCATCAATCTATATGGATAGAGCATCGATAAATTCTGGGACACGACGGTTGGTCGTGCCCCACACCTCTTCTCGCCTCACGGCGATTCTAACAACGGACGCGCTGGTTCCAAACCATCGCGTCTTCTGTTGCCGCCTCTCTCCCGAATATATATTGTAACCATTGTTATCAATAAAGGATCGCTCATTCATTCTCTACATTCTTGTGTGCAATTCTCTCTCTCACTCAATCTCTCTCGCTCAATCAATTCTATTCACAACACGTTATCATCACTTTCGCTCTCGCGAAGGAGATCGCGAAGTGAAAGGAAGAAACATCGCTTTTGATCTAATAGAAAAGCGAACAGAAGAATCAACAAAGAAGGTACGATGCCTACCTTTCATTGGATCATGGATGCCGTTTTCGGCCTCCCTCGCCATCAGCGCGCACGCCGGCTTCACCTTCTTCTTCGTCGATCGATGAGGAGGACGCGCCGGGGATCCCGCGGAGGCAGGGCTAGGGTTGGTGGCCGCCGCCACTACCCTCGTCGTGTGCCTGCAACTCCGGTTGTGGCCCCCCCCCCATCCCTGTCGCACCTCCTCCGCCTCCGGTTGCCGAAGCACCTCGCTGGATCCTTGTGCAAGGGGTACAGTATTGTGCCTACCATGGATGGACGGCGGTGATGACAATGCCCGGCGAGCCGTGTGAACTCCCACTGGAGATGGAGTCGCTGTTGGCCCCGTTCGTCGCCACTCCATCACCACCAACCGCTCCTTCCCCACCTCCATCAACATCGCAACCGACGCCTAGCTTTCGACGCTCCCCCACTCCCGCGGCACCAGGATTCGGCCGCACCGGAACCATGGCGGTGCGCACGTGGGAGCCGCCTCTCTTTACACCGTCTCCAACACATCGCCACGCTGGAGCCGCCGCTGCACGCCGTCCCGGCCTCCGTCATACGTTCATCGCTGTTCCCCACGGCTCCCGGAGCCGCACGATACCAAACGGCGTGGGGGGGAACGGTATTCGGATCCGGCCGGTCTCCGACTCCGATAAGGAGTCGGGATCGTCGGCATGCCGCCGGCCAATGAGGGGGACGCGGCGGTGGCGGATGGTGGATGGCAGCGGTGGAGGTGGTGGTGGATGGGAGATGGCGGTGGAGGCGAGTGGCAGCGGCGGAGAAGGTGGAGGTGGCGGCTGCATCGGCGGTGCCCCCACGGCGGCGCCCCCATGGCGGCGTCGGCGGCTTCGCCACGGCGGTGTCCGCGGCGGCGAACTGGCGGCGGTCGGCGGCGAACCGGCGGCGAACTGGCGGCGGACGACGGCGGCAGACGAGGTGGAGGAGGCGGCGCCGACTCGGCGGCATCATGGCGGCGGCGGCGGCACAAACTGCAGGGGCGGTTAGGGTTAACCCTAACCCCCACGCCCCTCCAGCGCCCCCTTTTCCCCTCGGGCCCAATGGGCCGGTTGCACTGTAGCGGGGGTGGGCTGAATCCTATTGATTTCGGCCCACCACCCATTTACCCCTTAAATTTAGTTTTTATTTTTTATTTTCAGCAGCAATTTCACTTTAGTCCCTATATTTTATGTAATTTAGTCGAAACAGTTCATCAGTTGTACAAACAATTATGTAATGGTCCTATAGACCACTGATGTTATGTGTTTATTAACATAGGTGTTTATTTAAATACCTTGTTTCACTAAATTTATTTGTTGTCTTAATAACATGCCTTTTGCATATTATTTCAAGACACGCTCTACTTTCTCTATAAATTTTGTATTTTGATTTAGCAAATTCTCTTAATTATGTCCAACATAATTAATGGAGGATTTAATGCATGTTCCACTTCACACTTTAACTTGGAAATTAATCACATGTCGATGGAGTCCTATACTTTGGTCATATCGACCATAACTTAGGCAGCGAGTATCTCGCCCATCATAAAGTGGTCTATATTTTGAGATGATTACCCGATGGAGCCCTAGAAATTGGCCGCACTGGTCATAACTTAGGCAGCGAGCACCTCGCCCATCTCACAGAGGTCTACATCTCACGATGATTACCCACATGTGTTCTTTTCCAAGAATATGTTTTGAGAAATGAGATTATTTGAAATTTGGTTGAACACAAGGTAGTGGAGTTCTAAACATTGGCTACGGTATATTCACCATAATATATTTGCCTGGAGACCGTATTTTAGGCAGCAAGTATACCTTGCCCACTATTAAGAGATCTACTCCACTGTTTAATTACTTGAAGATTATCCACATTGTGCCACCTAATTTCGAATTCTAACTAAAAATTGTCAGGTCCATAACCTACATCTTTCGAAACATTACAGAATATGAAGTTTTACATTTCGCATTGAGATTACAACCTTAATATCATGTTTTTATTAATTTACCTCTGTAAATTGATAATGTTAACCATGATTGTAGGGACATGGAAACAAAAGAGTTCGACGAACTCGCCCTCGATGGGACTAACTATCCCATATGGGTTTCTGATATCAAAATCAATTTTGCCTCTCGGGGGATTCTAAAGACAATTGAGGAACCCAATGATGGGGATCCGGCAATTGAGCCCAGGAAGCTCAATACAGCCCTTTTTCTTTTGAGACTCTACATTCACAAGGATCTCAAACATGAATACATGTTAGAGACGAGCCCTCTCAACATTTGGAAAGCTCTAAAAGAGCGTTATGATAAGCAAAAGGAACTCATTTGGCCTGAGGCTAATTATGAGTGGGTTCATTTACGCCTACATGACTTTAAAACTGTGGCAGAATACAACCATGCTGTTCATAACATTTGTTCCAGGTTGAAGTTTTGCGAACAAGAGCCAACGGAGGCAGAAAAGATAGAAAAAACTCTATCCAACTATGCTTCCGGAGGACAGGATACTGACTCAACAGTATCGCGCTAACAATTTCTGGAAACATTCTCTGCTTATACATACATTGACTCAGGCAGAAAGACACCATGAGCTTTCTTTAAAGAATGCCCAACAGCGCCCACCGGGCTCTGCTCCACTACCTGAGGTGCACTTCAATGTACAGAATAATGCTGAGAATAAGAAAGGATTCAAGGGAAATTCTTCGAATAATCATAAGAATCTGACTGGAAAGCGCAAACGCAACAACAACAGGCGCAAATTCAAGGGTCGAAAGAAAGGAAAAGGGAAGGGTAAGGCACCACAACCTCGTAGCAATGGCAACAAGCATTGCAACAGGTGTGGATCTGACACTCATGTCGCTAAAGACTGCCGCATCCCGAAACATCTTATCCTCTTGTACCAAAAATCCCTCAAGGACAAAAAATCTTCTGAGAACCCAAGATTTGAAGCACACTTCAATATTACACATGAAGAGCACCCTGAGGTTGCAAGTTCTCACCAGGCTCCTGCTGAACCAGAGAGCAACCTCAATGTTCTCCCAGAAGATGTCGCTCCACTCTCTACGATGGATGATATGTTCATCGAATACTGCTCAACGGACCCACTTGGAGATTTGCAATGATCTCGATGCGTCCCACTTGGAGATGAAGCTGCCCTTATCTCAGTGTGCTTGAAACAGTATATTGATATCCTATAAGTTTGCCAAATAATATTGGTTGTAATAAGTAAATAAGTACGAACTCCCTTGTATTGTAAGGTTGTATGGCTTGTTAGTCATTAGAGTATGTACTATTAACATATGTAAACGTCATACTATGTATTTGATGTTTTAATTATTGTATCTATGTATATATATTGGATAAAGAATTCTTAATCATGCAATTCTTCTTTCATTATAGATGTCTAAGGATATCGCTCCGATTGGAGAGGAATTATGTCTTGTGGACAGTGGTACCATAAACTCTATACTTAGGGAGATCAAATACTTTCAAACTCTCAAAAAGAGAGAAGGCAAAGTTTGACTATCGCTGGGCGCGATACTGTGATAGTTGGCTCAGAAAGAGCAATTATTACACTCCTAATGGGTACACAAATTACAATCGAGGATGCTTTATTGTATCCTGATTCAACCCGTACCCTACTAAGTTATAGAGATATCCGTCAAAATGGGTTTCACATTGAAACCCATATGGATAATCGAGAAGAATTTCTTCTCTTAACCAAACAAAACGGATATGGCAAACGCATTTGCGAGAAAATTCCATCTCTCACATCGGGTTGTACTATACATACATTAAGCCCATTGCACATGTTGCGTACAAAGTAATTTTTCAAAATGTTGATGCATTCCACACTTGGCATGATCGACTTGGGCACCCCGGTATCGGGATGATGAGAAAAATTATTGGCAACTCTATTGGTCATCATTTGATCACTGACAAATTTCTCAAATCCTCTGATTTCGTATGCACTGCATGTGCTACTGGGAAACTGATTTTGTGACCATCTTATCTCAAAATCAGAGCCGAACCACTTAAATTCCTTGAACGCATTCAAGGAGATATCTGTGGCCCTATTGTGCCAAGATATGGACCGTTCAGGTACTTTATGGTTTTGATTGACGCATCTACTAGATGGTCTCATGTGTGTCTTCTATCGACACGAAACCATGCCTTTTCCAAATTGATGTCACAAATTATAAGGCTGAAGGCAAATTACCCTGAACATAGGATTCAATCAATCCGTATGGACAAAGCTGCCGAATTTACATCTCATGCTTTCGATGATTATTGTATGGCATTGGGAATTCAGGTTCAGCACTCTGTTCCATATGTCCACACACAAAATGGTTTGGCTGAATCATTGATCAAAAGAATTAAGCTTATTGCTCGACCATTATTAATGAATTGCAAATTACCTTCGTTGTGCTAGGGTCATGCAGTTCTGCACGCTGCTGACCTTGTCCAACTACGACCAACTGCATATCATGAAACTTCCCCAATGCAGCTAGTACGTGGAAATCCTCCAAGTATTTCCCATTTGCGTAAGTTCGAATGTGTTGTATACATACCGATCTCACCACCACAGCGTACCGCTATGGGCCCACACAGGAAAGTGGGGATCTATGTGGGATTCAAATCTCCGTCGATCATAAAGTATTTAGAACCCTTAACAGGTGATCTATTTACCGCCCGGTTCGCTGACTCTATCTTTGATGAGGAACATTTCCCGGCATTAGGGGGAGAATTCAAGTACCAAAAAGAATGCCAGGAAATTGATTGGGATGCCCAGGGTATTCCAGCCTCAGACCCACGTACTACTGAAACTGAACTTCAAGTTCAGAAAATTATACATTTGCAAAGACTTGCAAATAACATGCTAGATGCATTTACCAATTATAAAGGTGTGACTAAATCTTTCATTCCCGCTCAGAATGCGCCAGAAAGAGTGGAGGTACCAAATAAAAGCACTCAACTTCCACTCACTAAAAAGAGAGGAAGAAGTATGGCCACTCAGCGAGAAACAATTGCTAATAAGCAAAGAAAGACGGTAAATGCAAACCAACCTTTAGTTGGTACACACCAAATTGATACTATATGTCAAGCAGATCGTGATAGTCTACAACCTAGCTCGGTGGTGCACAATGCTGAGACTAGGAATTCGGAAGACCATAGACACATTGTTTCGGGAGATCACAATGAGTCTATAAGGGTTGATGAAATTGCCATCAATTACTCTGAAACTGGAGAATCTTTTGATAGAAGAGCTATAATTGTCGACACTAATTTTTCTGAACAAATTGCTGAGTGCCTCCAAGTTGATCCAGAACCTAGGTATATAAAAGAGTGCCAAAAGCGCTCTGACTGGAACAAATGGAAGGACGCAATTGACGCAGAATTAGCCTCGCTTTACAAAAGAGATGTATTCTCGGCTGT